CAAGCGGCTCGTGGGCTCGTCCAAGGAAGATGATTTATCTTATTTTATTTTTTTGTTTAAAAAAGGTTCATCTTAAAAAAAAAAACGAAAAAAGGAAAAATGGATGAGCTCGTGAGCCCAAGCTCAGCCCACGAGCTCGACCAACAAGTAACAAGCCAAGCTCTTATCCAGCCCATTGCCATCTTTATGCTATACTCAATACCATATAACATATCAAGGAGTTGTTTGACAAATTTTTTTTTTTTTTAAAGAAAGTTTTAGCTGATTTTTATATAAGTTGACGAAGCATATGATTGAAAAGTTGATAAAAGTTGTGATTCTTATAAAATTTATAATTAAATTAATTGTTAACTTTGACCTGAACATTTTGGCAACTTTTAAAACTTTCCGAAACATGCACTAAGAAATTATTCATGTACAATGACAACAAAAATTCATTTTGGCATTAAAGGTAGAGAACAGATATGTTAACATAGAGATCCCAAGTTTGATTAATGCCCTTTCACCTACCTTTTGTTGCGTCTATTTAACGCCTTCCAGCGTACTTTAATTTTGTCTTTTGGATTAATTATGGGCCTAACAAGGCCAAGCCCATCATAAAAACAAATAAAATAATTGGAAAAATCATGTAAAGTTCAAAGTGCATGAAATCATCTATAGTTGCAAAAAGTTTTATGTTACATAGAATATGAAAAAGGGTTCCTCTACAACACCCAAAGAGTTCCCACATGGCAAAGTTCCCCCCTTGAATCAACAACATTATCTATGGTCGCACAAGGTTTTAAATTATGCAGAATATGAAAATTAATTTCACTACTACGCTTAAACGGTTGGCATGGGGCAAAGTTACCTCGTAAATTGACAAAACTATCTATGGTCGCACAAGGTCTCTATCACAAGTAATGGAAGTAACAACACGCTTTTTGTATGAAGTTAAAGCATCAAGTTTACATGTTTTAGGTGAGAAAAGAATATGTGTGACCTAAAAGGAAGGCATGTTTACTATTTGTGACGAATGCTTTTATCATATGACCAACATGATCTTTGCTACTAATTTTGTAAGGACTGCTTTTATCACATGACCAACGAAGTCTCTATCTCTAATTTCATAACGCGTACTTTTATCACAAGTCCAACGCGATCTCTACATTAATGTCTTAACTCGTACTTTTATCACATGACAAGCGTGGTCTCTTATGCTAATTTCATCATCTTCTCAGCATGTTGTATACGTCATTGAATGGCTATATCATCTAAAATCTTAAAGTGCAAAACTTTTTAGATATAAACTTGATTTATTCTTATTTAAGAAATTTGTATATTAATAATACTTGAATCTAGTATCTTTACCTTTATGTCTTTTGTGTTGTACTAGTGATATCAATCATCAAGAACTAAGCAAACATGCATTTCTTAAGTTATAAACAATTTTTTAGCATTTTTCAACAAAGGGAATAGATGGAGATTATATACATATAGGGATGATAGAATGGCTCGCCGGCTTAGGCCGCCCGTGGCTCGACCCGAGAAAGCCCGAGCCGAGTTGGCTTGTGGTTCGGAACCAACCATCGAGGCAAAGTTTCGAGCTCGAGCCTTAGAAAAAAATTAGAAGTCACAGCCTGCATTGCAGGCAGTTCTCTCCATATGAGAAGAGAAGGAAAAAAAATCGAGCTGACTTGGCCCGCTAAGACTCGAGCCGAAAGCTCTGGTCGAGTCTCAATTTTTTGGCCGTGCTTTTGCTCGACTCGGCTCAGACCAAAAAAACTCAAACCTTTTTTTGCTCGAGCCGAGCTCGAGTTTCAATTTTCAGCTCGTGGCTCGACTTGGCTCGGCTCGTTGACACGACTATATACATATAAATCAATACCAAAAAGTTCAATGCTGCACTTATAGAAGGCATTATAAATATGCAATTAATATTCTTAATGTTTTATTACCATTAATTAACTACCCATTATTGAAAAATCATACCACATGGTGACAATGTGTTGGGCAATAGTGGCCCTTTTCATGGTCTTCCATCTTGTTATGTTGGGTGGCTCCCATTGAAAGGGAATACAATATTGTGGGAGTAATAAATTGGAGTACCATTGAGTTGAACTAAACTTTTCTCAATTGGTCAACGAGCATAGACATTAGGTTGGACTAAATATTATCTCAAAATATCAACGAGCTAGGGGAATTTAGGGAAACAAAGGAAAAGTAGGTAGTTTTCTTGAGGAAGGTTCCTTCACATCATATTTGACATATATTTTATGACATCTTTGACATTATTTTATTTTGCATTTGGGGAAGTCTAGTTGGTGGTATACCAACCATTAATGTTTGTCACCTTCCCTTGTAAAGTAGCCCAATTTTTTTATTATCTTAAAATTTCCAATAAATAATCCCAATTTGTTAAATTGTTGATCATATGTATATAAATATGCAAATTTGGTCTTGTAATGAAATGAAAGGAATGCTAACTTCACATCATACCTTTCAACCACTTTTTTTTTATCCAAGTGTACATCGTAAAGGTCTCTTACACAAATCTTGATTATACACTTGTTTTGGGAATAAAAAAGAAAGTTAACAAGTGTCATCATGACTTACGATAATTTATATAAATTGCACTCGTGCAATATGCCTATAGTTTTTCGTCTTCTAATAACATTGTTATTGGTTAAAAAAATAAAATGATTAGATGCCTTCTATATCGTGATAAACGTCTTGTTGGATTAAATTCAATGCAAAAAACTAGAAATAAAACATTAAAGATGCCTCAAGAAATTTGTTGGATGCCTCTAAAACTTCTTAAAGCTTTTGTAGAGCTACAAAGGGTGTGAGAACGAAAGTCATAAAATTTGTTAAGTATCGAGAGCACAATTACATATATGACAAAGGGAGCGCAAATTTATGACAATTGTTTATTCGAATGACAAGAAAGATGATTTCAAAGATCTCTTACAAAATAATAATTTTAAAAAGTTGTAGATATCACGAAATGTAAGGTTAAAATTAATGGTTGATTTTGACTTGAAATTTTAATCCAAATCAAACGGGGACTAAATAAAGTATGTATAATTTTATTTTCATCAAAAGTTGTAACTGTGTTGACATTTGATCTCTTCGTGATGTTGGGTATGATACTTGTGGTTCGAAAATAAAGTCGCTCAAAACCTTGCATACTTCTTTTTCGAGTTAATTCAATCAATGGTTACTAAACTTTATTATAGGTTACTAGTGACCATTGATTAAATTAACTCCTTCTTTTTCAATTCCGAACCATTGGTTGGATTAAAATTATTTTTTTAAGACGCCTTTGTGCATGGTAGTATTTAATGAGATGATCTTTTTCTCAAAAAAAAGGTCGACAACAAAATTGTGTCAATAACATTCTTCCATCTAGGCATTAATATTTGGAGATAAACAATTTTAATTGACAAAAAAAAAAAAAAAGTTGATTAATGAACATTAATTGACACAACTTCAATCTTACATTCTATATTACTGAATGAGTAATGTTATTTATTATTATAATGATGGAATATCTGTAATGTGACAATTTATGTGGAATAATGAGATAAGATGGTTCAATTTTCATGAAAGCGTGAAATTTAACTGTCATATCTTATTATTCCACATAAGTTACCATATCACTGATATTTTACCATTATAATGATAAATAATATCATTCTTACTGAGTTTATACTTTGCACAAGTCCACATCATTTTTCATATATCACACATTTAATTTAATCATTATAAAAATACCACATCATTCATTGTCAACTAAGTGATAATGGGAGATGTACAAATAGTCTTATCCCAACTTGTATTGTTCCTTTCTTTTTTCTAGGAAAATAAACACTCTCTACTATTCGAACTCAAATGTGGATATGTACGCTACACGTTATACACGTTATAATTTCCATCACTTCAAGAACTAAATGCTTGTTTGATCATTTTTAAAAGCTGTTTTTTTTAAATAAAAATAATTAAATAAAATAAGAGCCTAAACTATTCGTAAATTCCCTAATATATTTTTATCGAATCATAGAATAAAAGTAAGGTATCTCGATACTTAAAAACACACTGAATTAACATGTTCATGGGTCCATCCCAAGAGAATGACAAGCCACCCAAAAAGAGTTGAGAAAGTACACAAACTAGGGACAAGGAAAGAAAAACTAAATTGTTGACACCCAAACACCAATCTTGCTACACTGTATTGCATCATGAATACATCTTGACTTATCGAATTTACACTGGACACAATCTCCCATCATCTACCACATCTCACACATTAATCCAATCATTATAACACTTTTACGTCATCAAGTTGTCAACCAAGTTATACACGAAGTTGTAAAAATAGCTTAATTCCTCCAAACACATTTTTGTAGGCGTGTTCGAATAACCAGTTTTGGTTATATCGTATTGTCAAATGATGTAAATTTACTCCGGTTTTTAATGTTGCATCATGCATGACTTTGACTTGTAAACAAATTGATTTACAATTCGATTTCTTATTTTTCTAGTTGAATTGGTCGATTCGTTTTTCACAACACTGTCATAACTAACACCCCCCAACAAACCATACTCTTGTACTAAGCTAATTCTAACACTATCGATAGAGTCCACAAAGAGCAATTCCATTCCAATTATTTAGCCCCAGCAAATTTGTAAATGATTTATAAATAAAAATAATAATAGGTCCCACTAAAATTTATAAATCCATTTTATTATATATTAAAAGTTCGAATGGAGGCTACTTATTTCTTGAAATTTTTGAAAAGAGATTCGCCGTCAAAATTGAATTTAGGGTTCATGGAGAAAAAGAAGATGTAAAATATTGGGATTTTTTTTTTTGCTCCCTAACACAATAAAGCATAAACACATATACATACATCAAGAAAGGAACTGATCTTCTCTTCTTCTGCTAACCCTTAATTAATCCATACAATCAAACCTGTTAATGTATAAAGCATTGAGTAATTAAGCTAATTACAATTTGATTAAGGGAAAATTGAAGTAAAACGGTCTATTGGTCTGGAAGCTGGCAGAGGCTGAGCTCCAAAGTTTGTTGCAGCATAGGAGGAGGAGGAAGAGGTGGCGGCCGGCAAATTTCCGCATTTCTGACACCTGCTGACGGCCAAATTCTGGCGGCAAGAGGGACAAGAGGAGTGGGAACCAAGCCAAGTGTCAACACATTCGACATGGAAGCAATGACCGCACTTTGGCAGCACACGGACCTCTTCTCCAGCGGCGAACTCCGCCAGGCAGATGGCGCAGTCAGACAGCTTCTCGGCTCGCTCATCCTCACCGTAGATTAGCTTCGGTAGGGACTTCAGGGCCTTCTTTTTAAGTCCTTTATTGGCAGGCGTCGAGGCGTTTGGCAGGGCAGAGACGGCTCCCCCGGTGATGCGGCGGATCCAGTCGCAGCGGACCACGATGGAAAGGCCAAGAACGCAGATGATTGCGCAGAGTAGCACGGCAAGTATGATTATGTAGTCCGACTTCAGGGACTCGGTTGGTGTAGGTGACTCCTTCGACGGCTGTGCTTGCGGCAGCGATGCATTTACGCCGCCGAGGAAACGAGACCGGAGAGGCATGAAATGAAATGAGGGAGTTTGTGTTTTGTGAGCTTATCTGCTTTGTATTTTATCTACAAATGTCTCTAGTTTTAATGATGCAAACGAGGAAAATGACAAATACAAGATAGATTATTACACTACACACCCTCGTACTTTCAAATATTACAGAATTATCCTTTTCAAGTTTAAAATAATAAATGTTTTACAAAATAAATAAATAGTTTTAAATACACCATCCTTCTAATGAAGATATGGATGATTTACTTTTTAATTTTCTAATATGCGTTTATTTAATGTATTTTGTTATCACTAAGTATAAAATAGTCACACCTAAGTCATTATTTAATGTATGGGTATATTAGAAAAATGAAAGAAAATTTTATATTCCAACTATATTACAAGTAGTTATATTGCCACCACAATTTATATTTCATACACCACATTATAATTGCAATTGAACTCTCTAATCTTTGCTCATTATATTTGTTATTATTTTTTTTAACTTTTTAGTCGAATTTTTGTCTTCAACTTTTTATTAATTAGTACATCTCGTTTTTATGATGATTAATTTATATTAAAATATTTTATTTTTTTACTTTGAAATGAGAGAAAAATACTTTTTGAACTTTTTTTTTTTTTAAAAAAAAACACGAAGAAAAAATAAATTCTTTTACATCATTTCAACAGATTTTTGGATATAAAAGTGTTATTAAATACAAAGGTGTTAATTAACGAAAAGTTTAAAGATAATAATGACACGAAAAATCGTAAGATTAAGAATCTTAAGCCCCTCTTTGGTACCAATTAAAATCTAAATTTTAATTTAAGTCATTTCAACCACATAGCTTATGGATCTCTCAACTTTTCAACTACACATTTTATCGACTTCCATAAATATATATTAAAAATCTGATTTTAATCCCACCAAATAGGGGCTAAGTGCAATTAAAATGTAGTATATGAAATAAAAATTGTAGTGTGAATGTAATTATCACTAGGGCTGGGTGTGGGTTGGGTTGGGTTGGGTTGAATTGGTTTTGAGTCCAACCCAAACCCAACCCAACAAATTCGATTTGACAATAATTCAAACATAAATCAACATATTCATGGTTGAAACCCAATTCAATCCAAATCGATCAAACTCGGGTTGGCTTGTGTTGGGTCGATTGGTTTGTACTTAAGTCAAATTCAAGTTGCACAAATTTTTTATGAGTCCAATGGTTGGGGCCCTTTTCGTTGAATTTGAACAATTTTTTTTTTAAAGTTTGATACCATTTCAATTTGAACCAATTTCACTTACATTAAAAAAGGTGACTTGAAAGACCTTAAGTTGATTGAAGTTGAATCAATAGTACCATTTCAAGTCGATTTAAAAGGCTTAAGTCAAAAATCACGTAAAAAAATCGAGTTGAGAAGCCGATGCATGAACATCAATGAGAGGAGAAGAGACGTGAGGCATGGGAGAATTTTGATAATTAAATTTTAGGTTTTCGGTTTTAAGTACTAATTTTCTTTTTAACATTTTTTAGTTTATTGGGTATGGTTAGGTTTCGTTGGATTGAGTTTTAATAGATAATTCAGAACCCAACCCATTCCGACCTAAGATTTGATTTCCTAACCCAAACCCAATCCAATTGAACTAAAAAACCAATCCAAACCGGTTGGTTTGTGTTAGGTTGATTGGTTTAACTGATTCATATTGGTTTTTCCCCAACCCTAATTACCACTATATTAATTACATTTTCTTAATCTGTGTGAAAATAGAAACAAACCTAATTTTATGGAATGAAATTACTAATTGATAACAACAAATCGTTTTCTGAACTTTTGTTGTTAGCAAAATTGAAAATAAAAGCAAGGAAATAGTTAAGTTATTGGTTATTAACATGATTCCACTCGAACGATTTGAGACAAATTTTCAAACTAAACAATTTAAAGCGGTTTAAAATTTTTCTAAACCAAATCAAACCACTTTAATTTCTAAATCAAACTAACCCAAACCATTTTTTCCGATTTAGTTCGATTTGAAACCACTGTTTAACTATTAAATAAGTTAAATCATAAATATTAGTCTATAATTTCCCATTAAAACATAAATTGAATCATTAAAAAACTACAAATCAAAGTTATATAATTATAATTATTATAATGCAACAATATGATAGATATATTTAAACTCTTAGTCAATACTAATTAGCATGCATCAAAAATTGTAATACACGATTCATTTTCTCCATAAAGATAAAAATATAGTACATAAATTTATTAATTATAGTTAAATGATATAAAACAATTAATAAAAGAAAATGAATAAAAAGATCAAATACGATAATACCTAGATACTAACTTTTTGTGAATCATCAAATACTTATACTTTATCCAAATATTGATGAATTACTATAAATTTCTTATTATTGTGTAACCAATTTTTAGGGCATATTACTGCCTCAACCTTATTTGCAATCATCAAACTCTTATAAAAATCAAGAATTTGTTCACTAATACAGAATATAGACTTAGAAATAATTGTGGATATTTGAATAGTTAATACCTTTAACAATTTGAAGGACAATCTTGTATTTCTTTGAATTCAATTTTCACCAAAAGTAATATGTCGAAAGGTTCATTGGACAAATCTTCAAAACTACCATTTAAGTAATCCACCAAATCATTTTAGCAATTAATAATAAAATTTAGAAACTAAGTTAAAATGTAAAATAATTAATTGAGTGATTTAACTAGGAAATTGAGACGGAAAAAAAAAAACAATAAAGACATAGAAAATAATTTAAAAAATGGATAAATTGACATGAAAATTTAAGCAAAACTCGAAAAAAATTATTAGTAGAAGGAAATGAAATGTGTAAGTTTAACTTGAAATCTAGATTTAATTACCTACTCAATTGTAATTGAGGGTCTATGAATATGGTTTAGCAGCAGTTGCTCAATATTTTATCCAAATTGAGAGTTTTACATTCACAATTGTGACGACTGATGGGTACTTGGATATGATTTAATTAACTAATTGAGATTTATAATTGTCTATTTAGGTATTGAGTTTAATAAAGTATGTCTAATATGAATGTATCTTTTTAATTGGAATGTGTTTAGTTTTAGTTCCTGTTTGACAACCATTATTTTAAAATTCTTTTTTTTTTTTTGCACGTACTCATTTTAACAGCACATTTATACAATAAAATAATCTAAACGAAAATTCAAAACTTTTTTTTTTTTAACTTTTTAATTATACATTCTCCAAAAAATCAATATTCAAAACTCAATTTTACCCAAATAATAGTTGTCAAATTGTGGCTTATTTGGGTTAGATAAAATTTAGACTGCTTTATTTTCAGTTTTTATTTTTCCTTCGGGTAAACGGTTTGCAAAGATTAAAACCTAAATTAAACCACTTCGAAAGTGGTTTGGTTAGGTTCAAAACCAAATGTTGACGAATCCACGTAAAACCAAACCAACTATTTTAAAAAAAGGGTTTCGATCGGTTTTACGGTTTGGGGATTTCGTTGTTCATCCTTAGTTATTGACTGAGTTGAGATCTGCTACTATTTTTTCTATTTAATTTGTTGTCCACCCAATTATAAATTGACATATCATGAAAAATTAAAGCTGTTATCTATTTTAATTTTTCAACTTTAACATAAATTTTAATTTTCCGACAACAAATTAAACAACATAAATGGACAGCAAATTTCTACTCTTATTGGCTGCTATTTTAAACCTATAATGCACTAAGCCCCTGTTTGACACCCATTTTTTCTCATTCTCATTCTTATTTTTTTCTCTTTTTTCATTTCAACTACACATTCTATCAATAAAATAATACTACACGTAAACCCAAAAATTCTCATTATTTTTTAACCACACATTCTTTCATCAATCACTATTTCAGAATTTATTTTTTGTCAAAAATAGGTGTCAAACATGGGCTAAATTACATCAATCAATTCCTGTAAATGGTAATGAAGAAATAGATTTTATTAATTTTCATGGACTTTTATAGACTCAAAGGAAGAAAAATATGATTGTATATAAATCAATATATTATGTTATATAGAAGTGTAATCGATAACTTTTTTAATAATTGACGCACACAACAAGAAAATAAAAAAGCAAACAACTAGCACTGAGACAAGAAACAAACAAACGAACAAAAAAACAAAGAAAAAAACGATAATTAAATATTAATCTTTTTCAGGTCGTAAACGTGTTGAAATTCATTAAACTAACAAACAACCGCCATATGAGAATTTAATTGCAAAATAATTTACTTTTTCATAGAAATGATGAAATGTAATTAAATAAACTATATGAGAATTTTATTTACAGATTGCTTTGTTTTTCATAAAAAAAGAGAGACGATACAAAATAAGAGAGATTGAAATAAAAAGGAAGGAAAAATGGTAATCGTATTCACAATACATTTGCAGTAGATATCCCTAATTTTTGTAGTTTTGGAACTTGCGTCACCCATTTTTTTTCATTTTTGTATTTTTATCATCAACCTCTATTAATTAACACATCTTGTCTTTGATTACGTATCACATTAATTCATTCGGAGATCGTAAAAAGATGAATTTGTCCCTTGCATTTTTAAATAAGAAAGATAAATAGCAAATACAAATATTCAACAAAATATTTTCGTCTCACTATTGGAATATTCGGATGGAAATTATCTCTAAAATTAATTGAAGGTTAAGGATAAAAATGCGATGAAAAAAATCTACGAAAAAATACAAAAATTAAGTGATATAATTAACAAAAATTGCGATGGTAATATAGTTACCATCAGGGGCGGACCCAGTGGGGGTCATGGGGGGCACGTGCCCCCCAACTTTCGAGGTTTTTTTTTTAAAGTATGTTTTGTATCGATTGAATTATAAATTTTAATCTAAATCTAAATTAATAATTAATTTTAATAACATATTTTATGTAATCCATAACTATTTAACTTTTATCAAAATTTACTAAAAAATTAATTTTTATCTCCATCAAACAGGGGC